GAGAGAGAGAGAGAGAGAGAGAGAGAGAGAGAGAGAGAGAGAGAGAGAGAGAGAGAGAGAGAGAGTCTGATTCCCACCCACTTTCCCCCCCCATCCATGGCTTGATTCCCTTCGTCTCCTTTCCCATGGTCATACGAGGCACACCCCAGAGAGAGAGAGAGAGAGAGAGAGAGAGAGAGAGAGAGAGAGAGAGAGAGAGAGAGAGAGAGAGATTCTGATTCCCACCCCCATCCATGGCTTGATTCCCTTCGTCTCCTCTATCCCGGCCATACGAGGCACACCCCTATCGTCCTCCGTCCAATGCATAGGGGAGCGGGGGAGGTGAAGGAATATGGGAGGGAGTACCGTGCTCTATTCAAACGTTTGCACAACTTTGCAGGCCTCAGGTCCCGTCCTGTGCCCATAGGAAATAATGACGATTTCAATTGCAAAATGGAAAACAAAATCAGAGATCTCTGTCTCTCCCTCTCTCCCTCTCTCTCTCTCTCTCTCTCTCTCACACACACACACATTGACTTTCCACTCCAGTGGTATATGCATTTTTTCTTCTTTATATTCATGAATTCACAACTTGAATTTTTGAAGAAACACATCTGCTGCTTCTACTGAACGAAATGGCAGAAGGAAGAAAAAGGATATTGACTGCAAGTATAAATATAAATTATCTGTGACTTCGGACCTCGGCCTCGCTACTCTACGTTCGACATGCATCCAGACTGTGATGCGGAGCAAATGCATTCGAGCTGATCGAAATTTTCGAATGCAGGAGAACCATTTCGACAGCCAAATACATTTTGATCATCGAGGCTCAATTGTCGCATTGGGCACATTGGGCACAACGACCAGTGAGTTGTTTGCAAGGAGGAAAGGTAGAATAGAATAAACGGGCGGCGACATTCTTTATGCACAGAGGAGGAGCAAATCTCAGAGAACCTGAAAAATGTTTTATGGCAGGACAAGTGCAGCAGAACCTGAAAAAAATCAAAGAGAGTTTTTTTTCTTTGGACCTCTGTGTGCATGTCGTCACAAAATCTCTCACCTGCCCATACCAAAAAGAAAGCTGCAGAACCACCAAAAAAAAAAAAAAAAGAGAAACAAAGTCCTTCGGGACATCCGTTAAAATTGGAACGATACAGAGAATGAAGATTAACATGGCTCCTGGGCAAGGAGCCACGCATAAATCGAGAAATGGTCCAAATATTTTCCTGTTATAAACAAAAAAGAGAAATAAAAGAACGAAAAGAAACAAAGCTTTGGCCGTGAAATGCCATTTACATTCTTGGGAAGTGGTAGTGCGAGTGTGCCCTGAGTGAGGGCGTATCAGCCCCGTCGCCACGGTGTGAGATTAAAAAAAGACGAAAGAAAGAAAAAGAAAAAAAAAAAGGGGAACATGGATTCCACATTGCGAGATTCAAGAAATACGACGAAAAAAAAAAAAAAGGAGGAGCATGGATTCCACAGAAAAAAAAAAAGAGGGAACATGGATTCTACAGTGTGAGATTCATCCAGCGGCCTCGCTCAGTTGGCAAGGCACGCAAGTGGCATCGGCCTCATGTACCTGCCTGGGCATGCTTGGCGCCTGCCAACTAGAGAAAGCCTGTTGGTCCCCCCAATTGGCATTAAAAAAAAAAAAGCAGTCTCTGCTGATGTGTTATAGGGGGAGGGGTGATCGGGGAGGCACAGCGACTGGCCGCTCAGATCATGCTCGGTCCCTCTGCTACCGACTGTCCCCACTGGCCAGTGTGACGCTCCCATTGGGGGTTCCCTGAAGGCAACAAATAAAGGCCACCCTGGGCTGAAAAGGCCACCCGATGTCAGATGAATTTATCTGGGCTGGTTAGTCCGATGATAATACCTGAACGCCATCGCCCTCCAAAAAAAAAAAAAAAAAAAARAAAAAAAAAAARAAAAAAAAAAAGGGAACATGTATTCGGCCGTGATAGTGGCTGGTTACATTCCTCTGTGTGCCAGTGTGATCACGGTTGAAGAGGGACTCTGCCCTGCCTAGCTGGCAGGGGACTTGTAAGACTCATAAGAGTAAGTTAGGAGAAAAAAAATGGAAGGAGCAAGATCCACAATCCGACCGTCGTTCCAGCAAGATTCATTCTATGCAGGCCAACTTGAGCACAACCTCCTAGACTACCCTACATCTTCTTTTAAATTGACTGGGCCAACTTGAGATAACGGGGATCGAACCCATCGAACCCATATCCCCTGCTTGGAAGGCACACAATTTACCTTTAATCTATATCCGCCATTTACGTATTGAATTGATCGACTCAGGCTCTTCTGGGTGAACGTAAAGTCTCCCCATCTTCACTCAACGACTAAGAGGCAACCGTCTACTACATAAGATGCGATTTGATTTGTAGTAGATGGGAAAAAAACCGGCCCGGATCTTATCTTCACTGGCGATGTGTTTGATGGAGTGGAAATAACTTTTACTTTAGCCAATAATAGTCACTGCCAGGCACTAGTATGCGCAACGTGCATCCCCGGACTGCGAATTCGGGGCTTTTCTTTTGCCAATGTATATTATATATGCTCACGTATATTAAGAGACATTGGTGATTGTTGCCCCCAAGTTGGGGGCAATGCAATTGAAGTAAGAAAAACGAACTTGAGGTTACCTTGGCTACCAGCCGCGCTGCCCCCGTCCTGGGTGGCCAGCCCGTGCAAGGACCAAGGAAGGTCCCAGCAAAAAAAAAAAAAACCAAAAACTCCAAACAAAAACCTTTGCCTCAGGGTTACATCGAAATTCTTCACCAAATTTAAGACAAAAAATAATTTTATTTATTTTTCTTTTTCTTTTTCTTTTTTTATGGCCCGGCCGGGCAAGCGACCCCGGGCCACTCTGGTAGCCTAGGGTTAAACATAAAAATAAAATAAAATAAAGCAATCCATTTGTGAATCGTAAGAGGGGCACCAGTCAAGGCAACTTCGATCCAACACCATCGTACGCTTTATTTTTCCTAAAGTAATCACTTAGTGGGAAAGGAAGTGATCGAGCAATCCTTTGGAGAAAAGCGTAATAGCTCACTGGTCTAGCTTCATCGTGTCGAAAAAATCCTCTTTTTTGTTTTTTTTTCTTGCTTTTCTCGTGCACACACCCACAATCAAAGCCAAAAAAAAGAACTTTTTTTTTTTTTTTCTCGTTTTTTTTGCGCTTTTCGATTTTTATTTTTTTAATCGATTTGGAAAACAAAAATGGGGTTTTAGGGTTCGAAAAACCCTACAACCCCATATATATATTTACGTTTTATTTCGGCGGGGAAAACCCCTTAAAAATCATGGCCGCGACTTCCGGGCCACCGTCCACAGCCGCAGTCACAAATGTGGCGGCCCGCCAAGTTTGACCCCATGGCCGCAGGCGCAGGTGATACACAGCTGCTAAACAACGGTGAAAAAGTTTTCACCCCACTTTTTCCAGAAAGTCAGACTCCCCGGCCCCGCAGCCCAAGCAGTCCAGAAAAATAAGTAAATAAATAAATAAATAAATAAATAAAGACGCTATGATGTGCTACACTTTGCTCAGGCCTTTTCCAACTTATGAAGCAGTTTTCATCAGTGTCCATCCACGCAGACTCTGTCACCTGAACACAATCCAGAATCTCTCTCTCTCTCTCTCTCTCTCTCTCTCTCTCTCTCCCTGAATGGTGGCTACCAGGACATAGCCCGACTAAAACTCCCAGATTGAAATAGCACAAAGCCCAGAGAACTGCCTGAATGAAATAGCACAAAGAAAATCCAAACCCTGCAAAACCCAGATTATGAATACATTATTAGGGCTCACAAGCATGTGAGCCTGACAGGGAGGTCCAATCTTGGCTATCTCAGCCCCCAACCACCTCTCTCCCTCAGTGCCCTCGCAAGTTCGCAATCCCCGTTTGAGCAGCGGCCTTGTAACATTTACTTGGGGAGCCGTATGCAATGAACGTTGCACGTACGGTTCGGAGGAGAGAAAAAAAACAAGGCATTTCGAATTTTGTGACATTCAGCGTCGTCGAAGTGACCTCACATTATTCATGCAGTGCTTACTTCTTATCAAGCCGACTCACTACGAGCATCCTTCAGCAACGGATGGAACAGAAGACATCGGCAGCAGCGGAAGCGCCGACAGCGCGAGCACAACTCTCTTGGAACCTAGACTGGTACGTGCTCGGTCTTTGCATCTCACGGGGCTTCAGCAGAATCAGCACCGCATCGAACAGAAGACATCGGCAGTAGAATGCTGGACTACCGGCAGCGGGAGTACCGACAACGAGCATAACTCTCTTGCAAACAAAGGGAGTTAATTAGACTACTACTACGTATCCGATCTTTGCACAGAGCGATCTTTTTAAAGTACGAACTCATGGCGCTATTTTTTAAGTAACAAACAAAGAAAGAGATCGGGGTTTTGAACTCATCTTCACGTAAAATGACACGGGTAAATGAACCTCACTGATAAACACGACCACATTCGGAGAATCACCACAGAGAATCAATATACCCAACAGGCCTCTTCACGGGATACTCCCCCTTCCATTCTTTGGAGCCTCCTACTCGCGTTATGAGTTGACGGAGCACTGCTCCTCCTAGCTTATCTCTACAATCCAACTACAAAAGAAGACAAGAACCGCCCAACACCGCCACCGTGTCGTGCTCACCCTTAAGTCTGTTGCAGCTTACATCGCATCCGCAACTCTATACGAACCTTGCACAACAAAAACGAAATACCTCCAGCTATGCACATCTTGCGTACTCATCGGTACTTGTGTGCAAACTGCTCTCTCTCTCTCTCTCTCTCTCTCTCTTGCGACTCATAATCTTCACTCCCTCGTACTCCCTCCTTTCCTTGGACTGACTCCTTATTCAGAACCTTACATTTCACCTGGCCATTGCATAGAGTTGCGGCTGTAGACACCGCAGACCAGCTAATTTGTGCCAAACCCGTTCCACAATAAGGTTTATGGAATGGTCATCGCCTTGCAGTCCTTTAATCGAAAATAGCTATCATGAAATTGAAACCCCTGTCTTTGCCATAAGAAGGCAGCTGAACCAAGCATAACATTGCCGTGCACCGATTTCTCTCCACTTCGCAAGTTCTATTTTCAACTTCCAAGTTGAAGAACAGATGAATGACACATCTCTCTCTCTCTCTCTCTCTCTCTCTCTCTCTCTCTCTCTCTCTCTCTCTCTCTCTCTCTCTCTCTCTCTCTCTCTCTCACACACACACACACACACACACACACACACACACACACACAGACAGTGCAGAAACAGTCTTTAGCGAGGCCGGGGATTGTTTGTCTGGCTTCAGATACATTCTCGTCACAAAGTAGAGAAAAGCCATGGGAGTCCTTGCACAGACATCACAGGGATGGGCCATGCCATCATGTGCAGCATGGCTTATATTTTGATCAGTGCCTTCGCAACAATGAAGTATATAATAAGACCTGTTGAATCCACAATGGTCGTCATGAAGGGCGTGCTAACAACGGCTGCGTTATACCTGCACCAGAACAAAAGCAGAGTCCAGGTACAGTGAGTTAAAAATGCTGTGAATAACTTGCTGAAAGAACCAACTTGTGCTTCCATCTGCTTAAGAGAGCTTTGTTTCCCCCCCCTCGGAAATGCCTATGTACCAGGGTTGCATTCCTGAAGACTGCCTACCCTGACCGCCGACGGTTTTGCAGCCTGCCGCTAGAGCCGACCGGTCGGCCGACTGCCGACTGGACATTAAACAGAAACTACAAAACACACACACACACACACACACACACACACACACACACACACATTTTCCTCTTGTTGTATGTCCTCCCTACGATTTTTTCCAGCTATTTTTGCTTACCCAACTGAGCACCCTTAAGTAGTGCCAAACAGTCAGTGGGTCCTCGTTTGGAGCGCCTACGGCAATCTTAGAGGGGCCACTCGGTTCGGGATGTCTGTGTTGCCTGTGGGTGATGACAGATGCTCGTAGGAGTGTCTGCCTGGCTCAGTGCATGGTGGGAACCAACAGTCCGCGGGGTTCAATTGTGATGTGAGTAGGTCATGTGCCCGTTTGCTCCATGTTGGATGTGTGGACGGCCTCGCTTGCGCTCCACTGCTGCCCTGCTGCCTGTCCCGCTTGCTTCGCATGCGGTTGTCTGCAAATTGCTGTGTTCGCTGTGTGTTGTGGCCGTGTTGCTGGTGTCGCCTTGCGGTTCGCTGCTTCATTGCCTTGCTGCTCATCTGCTCTTCGTGCTTTCCGTGTCCTTTGCCTGTGTGCCTTGTAGTTTGGTGCCATGTCAGTGTTGCTTTCTGCTCCACTGCATGGTCGCTTTGCTGCTCGACCACTAGCCTTATCGTCCCCTGCTGTGTAGTTGCCTTGCTGGTGTGGCCTTCACTGCGTGGTTGCTGCACTGCTTGTCATGTGTGTCGTGTTATTCCTTGCTGTCGTTTTTGGCGTTGAGCAGCCGTGTTGCCTCAACTGCGTTGCCTGGTGGTCTGCAGGGTTGCTGCCCGCTGCTGTGTTCCGTTTGGGCCGTTTGGGGATTGTCTGCTTTCAACACGAGTCAAAGGGTCCATGACCCAAACCATCATCAATACAGAGATTCCGCAGATTGTCGAGGGTTCAGCCTCCTGACGAGTCAGTGCAACTCCGACGAAACAAGCTATCATCAGTTTTTGTTTTTTTCAGTCTTTGCACTTTTTATACTTGTATTTTTTTTCACTTGCTGATTTTGTCTTGTCGGTATTTGACTTGCTGTCGTTCCCTCACTGCCTTATGCTGTTTGCCTGCCCAGCTGCCTACCAAATGCCTTTTCACCCGCCGCGCGTTGTTGCCTTGATCTGTTCGCCTGCCCACCCGCCTCCCTGGTGCCCTTCAGCCTATGTGCCTTGCTGCCTCGTGCTTTTTGTCTTTCCATCGAGTCTATGGCATATAGAAAACGTTTACAAGGGAACCGATAAGAGAAAATTGAGTATTGTTGTTGTGTCCTTGGACTGCATCCCTGATGACTCAATGGCACGGAGTACACGTCACGTGTACAGGAACGTCATTCGCTATGCTTTTGCACACTCTTACACACACACACACACACACACACACACACACACACACACGCACACACACACACACACACACACACACGTCATAGCGTAGCACTTCCCTCATTGTGTCTTGCCCTGTGCTTAATACGTTCCCGACCCTATATGGCATCACGACTCGTGAGCGGATACACGTTCACAAAATATACTACATAAAACATATGTGTGCGAGTCAATGCCATGACTATTTCGTGCCGGGAAAAGGGAAAAAGAAACCATTTGGAAATTCATATTAGAATCTAAGAAACAATGACAATGATGCAGCTCCATGAACTGCACATTTGTCTGCCGATCAGGACACAGTTTTTCAACTTCTTCTTTTCCTCAGGCTAACTCCTTGACTGTCAATGGTCTCCATAAACAGTCCAGTCAGAAAGTACCAAGGGGGTTCCTATGCAGTCCCAGGTGCCCAGGTACAGGTACTACATGGGCCTCAAGTTCCTAAACACGATCTGAGTATATCGATTGTGCAGAATAGTTGATAACTTAATAGTACTTAAGAGTAGTTAATACTTGATGCAATAGGAAGACTTCATTGATATGGGTACTTTTCTGTAATGGAAAGAACGTCAAAAAAGTAATGTACATTGTACTCTAATTAAAAAAAAAGGAAAAAAAAAGGAAAAAAAAGGAAAAAAAAAACTATCACTTCATCGGTACTTTCAAACCAGGATAAAAGCTGATAAACACAGACAAACAACACGGTGTACAAAACAGTACAAACAGATTTTCAGATGACCAGGGGAGGTCAAGGGGCTGGGCAGTTTTGAGAGGAACGTTGGGGTTGGATTACAATGGGGATTGTTAAGTTTACTATGGGGGCGACTTACCCAAACTTGACAGCTAGAAGCGGAAACAAGCCCCCTAGCACATTTGCCCACAGCGATACCAGCGGCAGTGCAACGGCGACGGTGATGCCAACCTGCAGAGCATTGTCGAGACAGAAAGGTGGAGGTTATGATTGAGCAGAAAGAGGTTTCGAAAAACAAGATAAAGACTAGGATGTGAGTCACAGATGAACAGACTGAGGCCCAGAGGTACAGATCCATGGACATTGGAAAACTCCTGTGAACTGGCGGGCAGTTATACCTGGTTGATCCAGAGCCTCGCATAAGTGAGCGGGCTATCCAGTTCGAGTAGCACAGTGGTGGGCAAATATTACGACAGGTATGGTTCCGCTTTTGACACCGTGTCCTGGCTGTGTAGTGGTTAAGATATTTGGCTCTCGAGGCTGAGATTGCCAGTTCGAGTCCGTGCTTGCACGCAGGAGGGCTGAGGCCCAGAGGTACAGATCCATAGACATGGTCACACTCTGGCTTTCTGGACTGTAGATTGAAAAAGTCCTACCGTCTTCACCTGAATAGAACGCCGGCTGTCATCACTGCATCTGAACTGAAAAATGCCTCACATACAGCTATAACGACCGGATGTTACATTCGCGTGAAGACGGTAGTTCGGGCATGCACCTCTCATCGTAGCAGGTTAAGATGGAAGAACCTAATCAAATCGTAGGAATTGTCGACACAATAGGTTGGAAATTTGGAACGATACAGAGAAGATTACCATTCCCTTTGCGGAACAATGGCAACGCATAAATCGATAAATGCCATTAAATGGTCCAATTCTTTCATGAAAGAAAAGGAAAAAGGTTGCGATCTAGGCTACCTGCCAGGCCGCCCGGGTCACGTCGTTTTCCTGGGCGGCCCGGCCGTGCAAGATCCAGGAAAGGTCCCATCCCAAAAAAAATGCAGAACAATAAACTGAACATTGAACAGCCAAAAAAAATGCAGAACAATAAACTGTTGCCTCACGCCGCTCACAGTCACATCGAAATTATTTCTCTGAATTTATATATTAATATATATATTACTGGGTTAAGCCGACATCCGGAGGGGACGGGGGGGGAGGGAGGGGGAGGGGAGGTGGAGGGGAGGTGGAGGGGGGGATTTGTCATGTGGGTGTAGCGGAGGTGCTTGCAACTTTTTCTTTTCCTTTTTCTGCTGCCGTTTTGCCCCTCCTCCGTCCAGACCCGCCACTCCCCCCTCC